GTCGAAAATCTCACGAGAAATTTCTTTCCCCGAGACTCGAACCAGCGCGCATTCCGTATTCACCGGTTCGAAGCATGATGCCTCAGACCATGCGGCTACGGCGCGGGACATTGTGTTGTGTAGTCTGGTAGAAATTTACCAGACTCCAAAGTGCGGTATCTCAGAAGACAGTTTTCTTCATACTGTGAGAAAGTTCAGTCAGCAGTACCATGACTGCTGATTAAGTTGATTACAATTACTTTTGCATGTACGTGTATTGGAAATTTCTGTCGTGATTTTCAGCATGTGATTTGAAACCCGTCTATGAGAAATGTCAGACTGACGGTCTGAGAGTGGAAGGCGCACATAACTGGACCCCTACGTTGTACATTCGCTTAGTGCAGGATGTCGGCTTGGAATGTGAGGTAGCTCAGCACCTAGCACAGTCGTACGGAGATCGAGCGTTCAATGTAGCAAAACTCGCATCACTCACAGGGAAGCGTTGGCCTATCATCGGCAAGAAAATACACCCTGAGTTTCCATATATCGATGCTGAGGTATGCTAATTTTTTTTATTATTTTTTTCCTACTGCCTGTACTTTAGCTTGAAGAAAATGTGTCATATACTTGACCTTCGTGTTAAAATGCACCGTAAATTTTAATGTCCGTATATGTGTATATATACACATACACACGGGAGAGCTAGAATTTGAATTGAAACTGAAATGAACTGTATGTGTTCTCAGATTCGATACGCTGTTAAGGAGTATGCGTGCACTGCTATTGATGTAATAGCTCGGAGGCTTCGCTTGGCATTCCTTAACGTTCAAGCAGCTCAGGAAGCACTTCCTACGATCGTTGACATTCTGGCCGAGGAGCTGAAGTGGAGTAATGATGTAAAGAAGGTGTGGTAAACTATTTATGTATTTTAACAAAATATTGGTCTTAAAATAATATACGTGAGATATTGCAAGACATAAATATTATAATCCTAATAATGGAGATTTGGAAAAGTTTTTTACAGTGGAGTACACAGTAGTCATACAGTTGTTCATATTTTATTGACTGTAGCGTTCATTTAATACGATGCAGACCGTCTATCCCCAAGTTAATCGTTGCGGTGACTTTGACGCACAAAAATTAGGGAATTTCTTGACCAAATGAACGTCTCTCAACAAAGGCACTCTAGAAACAACTTGGCCGCTTGGTTCCTGTTTACAAATACCTGTAATTTTTTTGGATTTGAAAAAGTCGTTTCCGCGAGTATCTCGCCACTTGTACTGTCTGTGTGCAGAAACATTTCGAAGAAGCAAGAGCTTTTCTACAAAACGAGATGGGTCAGGCGGTGAACAGGGTGTCTCGCGACAAGCTCCCGATCAATCTTTCCAAAGACGAGATCCAGTCATCCATCAAGAGATTCCAGATTATTGACAAGGATCGTAAAGGCTACGTCTCCATCACGGATATCAGGCGAAGCTTGCAGGTACGTTGTGCCGACTTAATTGTATTTTTTTTTTATAGTTTGGTAGTTAAAATATTTTATTAAAAGAATTTTGACATTTGTCTATGAGTAAAACTAACATAATACACTAGCATCGCTTAAGTGCGTAGTATTTTTATTTTTTGTGTCAAATCATCATCGTCAATAGTGCTACGGCTCATCCAATTTATGAAGATGTAAATTGGGCCGTCTTCTGAAACATTGTGGCTTGAATACATTTGGGTAACAAGGGTCACTCGGTCTGAGGCGTGGGTCTTGTGCCGCTTGGTCGCTGGGACCGTGGGTTCGAATCCCACTCAAGCCATGGATGTTTGTCTACGTCTTTCTGTGTCGTGCTGTCCCATGTACAGGTAGAGGCCTCGCGACGGGCCGATCCCTCGTCCAAGGAGTCCTACCGAATGTCGATAGATCGAGCCAACGAAAAGTTGGGACCCGCAGTGCTCGGGCACTTGAAGAACGGGTCGTTCCCAGTATCCCCAGTAGGTAACAAGTAAAGCCCAACAGAATAATTAAGTAACCATGATTGTATTTCAGCACACGGGTGAAGAGGTTTCTGGCGAGGAACTACACGAAATTCTGAGAGAGATCGACACTAACATGAATGGACAAGTTGAGTTGGACGAATATTTACAGGTAAGAGATCCGCAACATTTTTAAGCTGAATCAAACATCTAGTGTTAGAGGTGGTATACGACTTTAGATCCGTATCATTAATGTTTCTACCACGATTAATTAATCAGTTTTAACCGTGATCTAAAATTAACAGTAAAATGTGCGCGTTATTATTTTTTGAAGGCGCTTCATTTGTCACGTTGGATGTCGTGATAATTTGTTCGTCTCCTCTCCAGTGAACGTATCTCTCAGGAAGTGTGTGGGTCAGTTTGCGGATAACTGCGTACAAGAGAGGTTGAGTGTGTGTGATGATACCGGCAAGCATAGAACGCTGGTTATTTCTTCCTAAACTGAGGTAGCTAAAAGGCGCACAACCAGACAGCAAAAGTTCTGTATTATAAAGTGCGATCACTGATAAACTTAGATGCGACTGTCACTTCCTGGCTTCTGGAAGGAACTGCGTGACTCACTGTCAAGCATCGCAATATTTTCCTGATACTTGTCGAGTAATCAATTCACCTTTTTTTAAAAGATGTTGAAAATGATGTCCATATACATGCGCGCTATTTGTATAATACACTTTCTCTTCAGTAAGCGCACAGCATTTTTTTTTACCAAGTTTCTTGTCCAGAAGTGACGCAAAGAAGATATCTCTTCAGGTAATACGAAAGGTGGAAGATTTTAATGATTTTGGATTAACGAATTGTGGAAGTGCCTCTGATGATAACTACAGAGATGGATGGAACACGTGAAGTAAAATAAAGACTGGAATCAGAACAAACAAATACAGTATCAGAAAACATTTTAATCTTTCACGGCTGTTGAGCGCTAAAGTCGATCCTGTTTCTGGGTGATGCAGCCGTGGAGATGCGGGCTGCTTTGTTGACAGCCGAGAAATAAAAGTGATGATATAAAACTTACATCTCCGCGATGCTGTTACCCAAGAACAGAACCGACATTCGCGAATGCGGTGCCTTTTTTAATTAAAAAGAATATTCCAGCGGATGCTGTTACATTTGAAGATTACCGTCTTCTGGGTTGTTGCGCCATGCCATCCTGATGATGGAGGCTGCTAGGACCTCTGAAACGTAGGTAAACATCTACCGGACCACGCGGCGCAATGACACAGAAGACGGTAATCTTCAGACTCACCGCCGTGAAAACCTCAGATCCTACGTGCTGTTACATTTAATTCAGGTGTTACGCTGTGAATCTCATGACGGGATTTTGGTTTTGTGGCAGATGATGTCCGCGATCAAGTCCGGTCACGTCGCGTACTCTCGATTCGCTCGCATGGCCGAGATGGAAGAGGAACATCACGAGAGAGAGCTCTTGAAGAAACAGATTTCTGTGGAGCGCAGTGGCGGCGGCCTTTAAAATCAGAGATGAGTTGCTAGTTCTTCATAGGTGTTGTTTCTCCCCGTGGAATGCAATTCCCTCCCAGCCCACCCGCGTCGTCCCCGGTGAGTATCCGAATAATTCCATACAGTATTGAATGTACTCGTAGTTATCGTAGTTTTGTGCAGACGGACGGTTGTGTTCAATATGCCAAGATTGTCAAGAGCGAAGACGATGCTTCGATTTAAAAGCGATAAGCGTATTATCATGTATCCACGCAGAAATGACACTAATGCCTTCTTTTTAAATGATGTTACTATCGCATAAAGACAGCAAAATTGTGATTTAATTGTCGAGTCATAGTTCGTTGGCGGTTTCGAGGAAACGTGACGAGAGTCGTTTCAGATGGTTCTGTTGTAGAAGTAAATTACGTAGAAGTGCATAAATTTGATTCGGTCTTAACACGTGAACATAAAAAATCCCACACGTGTCACTTTTGGACATTTTTTTTATAGACGGATTCTAGAAAATCTTTGTGGTGAAATTCAGATGAGGTTTCGAAGACCTGATACAGTATCAAATCAAAAGACCGATTAAATATTACTTGCAAAGGAAGTTCCGAAGCTCATCATTATAAAGAATAAGAAGTATAAAGTAATAGACGTGTTAATGGAGACTTCAATCATAAAACTACCTAATAAAACAGAAAATGTTTGACCTTTAATGTCACTTCTCTCGGTTGATACAGGGTGTTCATTCCTTGTCGTTTAAAATTCAAGCAATTTTGTAAGTCTGAAATATGAAAGACGTGTCACGGTTTCTTTGCACGTTTCCTCCGAACATCACGATTTATGTTGTTTTTGTAAAATTTAATAGATTTAGTGGTAGTCATTTCAGTTGGTAAGTGTTGTTAGGGTTTTAGTTTCAAAAATGTTGAGAATCGTTTTAATATTATTTATTATCCAGCTCACCAAAGCGATATTTTATTTTATGTTTAAAATGTGAAATTAATCTTGGGTCTCAGTACAGGATGGAATTCCTTATAATTTTTAAAATAAAACTGTAAATATAAATTTGTCAGTTAGACTTAAAAATTGTAAATACACGTCTCTAGGAGGCGTTAATTATGAGCACCAGACTCGATGCTCATGTCTCAAATATCGCAAAAAAACTCCCTTCTCAAATGACATATTTAATTATTTGTGTGTTTCTGCTTCATTCGTTGAAGATCTGAGCTGTAATTAGTTTTTTCAATTAGTAGATAAAGTATGAGCACTTGACCATATATTTATTATTTATTTATTTTAAACAAGAAGAATCTGACGTGCTAAACACCTACAGGATGTAACGTGCCGATCGCTACTTCCGTGGACTGAATCGTCATGTGAGATGTAGCTTTTGGCACGTAGAAGGAATCATCCCTTCTCAGTAATATTAACGGAGATATCGATTTAAACGCTTTAAATTTACTTTAATCCCTTCTCAGTAATATTAACGGAGATGTCGATTTAAACGCTTTAAATTTACTTTTTTTCAGTGATTCTGTACTATTTCTTGCTTTGCATCATTAATATGAGAATAATTAATTCCACCAAAGTCATATCGAGGTCTGCACAATTTTGTTCCTTTTTTTTGGAAAGTGTGAGTTAGAATGTTTCGAACCACATTATCATTTGTGTAATATTCTGTTGAAAAATTCGTGTTGTACGTCAATTATATCAGTAAGAGAAACAGGTTTGTTATCAAATACTCATGAATGTGCCGTCGCCACTGGCGTCACTTAAAATTACCCAGAAAAAGTGGAATGTTTTTATATATTTGTGTGTTTCGTGGTGTGCGCTGTATCGCAGCGGCACCCAATGTTACAAAGACATGTAGCGCCAGTGGAAGGATGTAAATCAGTTACTTAAAAAACTAAAATAAAACAAACTCATGTGTCACAGATTCATAGATAATGATTTGGGGTACTTGTGGGTTATCAGGACACATCGCTTTAAAAATAGGTTAGGTTAGGTTAGGTTAAATGTGTGTGTGGATAAATGACATATACTTGAAAGTTATTATATTTTATTTCAATAAATGACAACTAACCTAACTTAGCCTAACCGAACATAACCTAACCTAACTTATTTTTAAAGCGATGTGTCCCGATAACCCACAAGTACCTGATTTGGTTTTATTGTGCATGAATGAAATATAATTTTCTTGTGGCGATAGCTTGACGCATTAAAATTCGGTGGCCTTCGCAGAATGACTGAACATAATCAGCTCTAGTAGTTTGATAGGTTCTGACAAAGGTCTGACCTACTAACATCCTGTAGCCACCTGCAGTCAACGAACACAATTTATGGGCGACAAACAATGCACAACCTTCGTTCCTATCACCTTTTCGACGCAAATGCACGCGGCCATCAAATTGTACGTGGCAAATTAATTTTTTTTTTATCCTGGTGAATTTGGCTGTCTTCTGTTTGTTGCACCGCGTAATCCGGCGGAGTTGACTGACGTTTCGGAGGTGCTCCCTGCCTGAATCATTAGGGCCCTGATGATGGAGGCAGCAAGTATCTCTGAAACGTCAGCCATCTTCATAATTGCTGACTTATCACCAGATGTTACTAGGTTTTCCCAGTACTCACGCTAAGTATTGCAATAAAATTAAGTTACCTTTTTTGTTACGAAGTTCAAGCGGAAGTGAATGAGCCGTGCGAAAGAGATGATAGAACTGTAATGAAATTGTGCAGGTAAGTATTTCCACTTCTTCACATAGGTCGGTGGTAAAATTATATCGGCTTATTTGTTTCTTTTATTCCTTATATTTTTATTCTATTTATCCTTTGACCACTTAAACTTATTATCGCGTTTGACCTTCGTATATATTTACAGTCAGTAGGCCATTTCTCCTCAATTACTGCTACGCGCATGCGCTGCAAACATACGTCAGCTTTTGCACACCTGCGTCTACATGGCGTGTTGTAGGACAGCTTTACCTATTATAGCACTTATTCTGTAAGGAATTCAACATTACCTATTATCAGAAGCGTCTTACACACACTTACCTACGAGATCTTTGCCCTGCTATAACAAAGGGCCAACCTAACCTCACCAGAAGACAAATTATAACTTATGCTACTGGTATAAGGCGGAGGACGGTGTTGACTTGAGAGAGATGACGTAACAAAGGACTGCAGAATATGATGCGTGTATAAGACTATATTTTTACGAGTGTTATACGAAAACGTGACATGCATTAGGCTTCGGGAAATGAAAATGCACACAGAAAACAGGACACCGGTTGGATAGAGTCGGTGTAGACGGGAGGATAATATTAAACTGAATGAAGGGGATTTGAGAATTTAAAATGTGACTATCTCAATACCTTTGATGTTAATTCATTGTTCAAGCAAATATATCTGCTGATACAAATTTAAGGTTCACCTTTTTTTTTCCGTTTTATATAGTTAAATATTCCTCGCATTGAAAAATCTTTAAAATGAGTTTGAGATTGTAATGGAATTCGCCTATATATTATACATTTGTTGTAGGACGATTTAAGATCCGTGGCTTACATTGGACCAGTATATACGAAAGTGAAATTTGCCCAGACACTTTAGTGTAAAAACTCATTAGGATATCCCTATTGTACGTTCATTTATGCACTTCACGAGAAACAAAACTTATAAACTAACTGCAGAGTCATCGGACGTTGCATGTTTTCGTATTTTGTTAATTTGTTTAGTGTTTCGTGTTTTGGCACCCGTGTTCTTGCTGCCTGTGACAATAATCTCCTCTCTGTGGCAGGTGTTCTGTTTGCCCCGTCCTCCCCTCGCTCGGATCGGCACATTTGAACCTTATAACCACGAAAGAAACTTTCGTCTTCGCGTTAATGTTACGTAGCGTAAGTTTCGACACGTCACGTGACGAAATCACGTGATCAACAATTGAACTGCGAAATTAATCAAACTTGTTTACCTTCTTTTAAACATCAATGCGTGTTTTTAAAACAAGCTAGAAAAGCATGAAGTTATGCATTATTGCATGTTTGTTAACAGTATTAATCGGAATTGACTAGAATATAAAAACATCGTCATATTGGCTCGCATGTCTGCGAGGTGAACTAGTTCACATGTACTTGAAATTTAGGTTATGTTCACTGTATTACGTTATATCGAAGGCTGTCGGCAAACACGTGTTTGTTGATTTGTCGGTGGTTTTAACCTAGCTTATTTAACTCACAGGCTGGGCGATTGAGGTTCGATCCCAGGCTAGGGCGTAGATTTCTTATCTTCCCCCCCCCCCGTGTCCAGAGGAAGATTAATACGTCATTACGCCCCATTTAGAATGATAGATCTCGGCTCATTTATCTGAAATGCATTCTGAAACGTCTTTTTAATTCGTTTCTTGGTACGAATCTGTGTATCAGTGTTTCTTTTGCCTTTTCGACGTTTCGGAACTTTATTTAAAATATATAACACTCGAAATTAAAACTTGCCCCCAATTTTTACTAAAAGAAACCATCTCATTTTGTAGTGGCTCCTTTACTGAATATTACGATCGAGTGGTTCGCATTCCTTCGTATTCCGGAATTTTCCAAAGATCTACTCAGTTCATCTAGGATAGTATACTTTATATTAGGAATCAGCCGTTTCCTTCAACGCTCCTTCTACTTCATCTGAGAACTCTCTTGTCTGATAGGAAGACTTGCCTAGATCAGTGGTATTTAACCTTTTTTGTTCGCGTACCCACAGATATAATTTCTCTTCAACTTTTAACCCCCCAAAGTTGTTGGTGTATAATTCAAGTTATACATAGTATATAATTTACATCTAAAATAAATTAAATAAATTACATTACTGATTATTCAGTGTTTATCATAAAATAATATATTTTTTAAAATTTCACGTACCCCCGGGGGTACGCGTACCCCAGGTTGAATACCACTGGTCTAGACTATTCAGGACTTAGAATAAGTGCTGGGTGTTGGGATAATTTAGCATATTTGGACCTAGAAGAATGTTGCAGGTTTATTTTGTGATCGTAACAGTGCAGGCGACCTAAAGGTCACGCAATCCGTTCGTGTGACACGAATTTGAAAACCCAAAACCCAAAAACAAAAAACAATATTATGTTAAGTGTTGGAAATGCCCACAGCGTTCAGCATTCACTCTTGTCCTCATGTTCGATCTAACTCTGCGAGGAGTTTCTGTGCCACGGGAACTTCTCACCGGAAGACGCATTGTCGATTTGTTTGGCACAGGAGAATCGGGAAACGTGTCCCTGAACTCGTTCTTGCAAGTTAATTAATAACGAGACGCCAGACAGTGTTCGACAGTGAACACTCGATGCACTTGAGAAAAAGACATCCTTGCACTTCGACTGTTGAAAGGCAACTGACGGACTGGCGCGAGCAGGTAACATCACGTGACCTGCGCGGGCTCTTACGTATAGACACAGCGATATTAATCGAATCGAATTGTATCGAATTTCAACCATCAGTAAATATTTTAACAAACGTTCATCACAATCTGGAGATCTACTTTCATTGGAACTGCTTGTTGTCTGGATAAAATGAAACGGAATTTGATTCCTGAAACTCGGGCTTCGTCGTGATAATCAAATTGCAAGGTTAGGATAGGCTTGCCTGCTGTGTGGTCGACCGCTCACTATCGATACGTATCGACTTCATGAATCAAGATGGCGGGAACAGGCAGTACATTTCGAAGAGCCAAACGTTATTTTCACATCGCCTCTGGGTTTATGACACGTAATACCCCTCTCAATCAGAGACTGGCTAGCACAGAAGAGCTGTTTCTGACGAAGCAGTGTTTCAGAAACTGATAGTCGCTAAGCTTGCCAACAGACTCACAGACTTTGTGTGTGGAACCCGAAGGTTCATTATCGTGTTTACAAAATACGAACCGCTGTTATCATTAAGTATTATCCCTTTTTCAGAAAACGTGAGATTCGAATCGAAATTCATGAACGTTCGTGCGAAATACAGAAACTTAACAAAAAAATAAAATAAATACCCTTTGGGGTCTGTATCTTAAACATCCATCGCCTTGTCCTTGTACTCATTTCTCTCGACAATTCGAAGATATGCCCAGAAGTTCTGTGGTGTGAGGAACGTGGACATTACCTTCTTCTGTTTGCTGTGGAAGTTGGTTCCTGTCAGTGGCCACTTCCGGTTTGCCGCTGGAAGGCCTCATGACATCCGGAAGTGGTCCTCGACGCTCAGTGGCGTTACCGCGGTTTTTTCGGGTGACAAATTTGTTCCGGAGGAAGTGGGCGTTGTCTCGGTCTGGTCCATGCTGCTGGAAAATGGCGTATTTGAAAGGAGGCGTCACCATGTCACTCCACCCATCAACATCCCACCCCCTGCCCGCTCCGCCCACTTTAATTCCCAACCACGCGGGGGGGGCACAGCTGATGGAAGTGGCTTCCCCGATGACGAGAATCATAATTTGCAGGAGACCCGGGTTCGGAACTCGGTTTTTGAAACGAGATATTCCGACAGGCATCTAGTTTTCCTAAGTCGTTAATTATTACGCGATACTACGTTAAAATAGGCCACGGCCGCTTTCTTTACACGTCCTTTCCAATTCACCATTCACAGATGAGAGCAAATACTGCAGGGATTTAAAAGGGATATGCATTCGTCCCCGGATGTCGGTCAGAGGTCAGAAGTCAGCGTTACGCGAATGTAATCTTGGTTTGTTACCATCGTTTCGAAATATTGTGAAATTTTCGTCATTTTTGAAGGATTTTTCTGTTTAGATGTCTTCGGGGTCTGTGTTATGAGACTGTCCTGCACCCTGGTGATAACTGGTTCTAATTAATTCTCTCTCCAATGACCTCTAGATGTAGATAAAATTCCTTACCGTCGTCTGTGTTTTATTTTGGTTACTCCAAAAGTATGTCAACTGAGTCGTGCGTGGAAAAACAAATTTCCCGCTGTTTATGGAACCCAAAAGTTAATTATCGTGTTCACAACAACCACCATCGCCACTTTTATCTATCTTGAGCCATATGAATCCAATCCACTGTCACACTCCATTTTAATACTTTTTCACGTCTATGTCTTGGTCTTCCAAGTGTCTTTTTACCCAACTTTTGTAACCTGCTCCCAAATTCAATCTTCCTTATAAAATTTTTTGGGAAAAGTCTACTAAAATGCGTGGTTTTCCTCAGGTCTGTTTCGATATCTTATAAAAAAAATTCTACGAAATTTATGAAGTGAAATCGTCTAGGACTCTTTGGACATCGTTTATATAACGACGCTGTCAGTAGCTCAGCAGTCTGTACTAATAAATTGGAAAGTTATGAAAGGAAGCGGTCGTGGCCTAATTTAATTCACTGTCCCGTCATTTTGCCTGGCGGACTGAGGAACTCTCAGCCAGGATAGTCGATCCTCGGATCGAGTTTTGAACTCGGAACCTCTCCGACTGAAGCACGGCTTTGGGTTTGATGCTGTCGACCTTTTTTGGACAAATTTGTGTCAAAATTAAACCCTGTCGATAACAAATTTTGAATAACCTCCTCCAAAATTTGAACTAAATTCGGAAATGAACTTCCTAGATCGATGCTTCGAACAATAGTCGAACACGCGACCTGAGATAAAGATCGATATTACGCATCGAGGTTTTTATCATGAGTAATTTTGAGGCGATATTCTATGTGCCGGCCCTAAACGTACGCACGCGTTTGAAAAAAAAAGGTTTCTGTGTGGGATTCAAGGTTTTTCGTGGCTTCAGCTCGCTGACAACGACACACGTTCTGTCTCTGCGAGTTATCGATTTTCTACTCGATAGTAACACGCGAAGGCCTGTACTGGTGAGCCCAGTCCCAACATTACCAGGAACTGATCTACACGCCTTTGCAACGCTAATTGTAATTCAGTGTAGATATGTCATTATTGACAAGCCAGTAGTCGCTCAGCTGGCCAATAAATACTATACTAACGTCCGAGGTTCATTACGGAATTCGCCAGAGTCTGAAATCAGGCTCTATCATGAGCCTCACGAATTCTGTCCACAATTTTACATCCTTTTTTGAAAACCATTTTAATATTATCCTAACTCCGCGCGCATTATTATTTATTCTTAGGTTATTTAGCAACGTTGTTTCAACTACATACGTCAGCCAT